GACTGGAACCAAAATAAATAAATAAAATTTAATTAAGGTGCTGAGAAGGTGGCTCAATGGTAGAGCGCTTGCCTAGCATGCTTGAGGCTCTGGGTTCAACTCCTCAGCACCACATAAGCAGAAAAAGCTGTAAGTGGTGCTGTGGTTCAAAATGGTAGAGTGCTAGCCTTGAGCTGAAGAGCTGAGGAACAGCGCCCAGGCCCAAAGATCAGGCCCCACCAAAAAAAAAAAAAAAAAAAAAAGGTAATTAATTCAAGGTCATTAGTCATTAAGAAATGCAAATTGAAGCCACTATGACTATTACAATGACTAAGAGGAAAAAGAAAAAACCTGATAATACCCAAAGAACCATTCTGCAAAGCAGTTTGACAGGTTCTGAACACACCGACCAACGACCCAGCCCCTCCTATGGATCCACTAGGTATTTACCCAGAGAAAAACTTCCCCGGCATGAATGTTCATAGCAGCCTTGTTTGAAATGATCTCAAACTGGACACAACCTATCTCATCCCATAAAATATTATTTGTGCTGGTGGTGGGCCTCCATTGGCCCTTTTGCTCAAGGCTGGTGGTGCTCTACAATTTGAACCATACCCTAAGTCTGGCATTTTGCTGGTTAACTGGAGATGAGTATCTTACAGACTTTTCTGCCTAGAATAACTTCAAACCTCCATCCTCAGATCTGAGCCTCTTCAGTGGCCAAGATTAAAGGCGTGAGCCACCAGCGCAAGGCTCCATGGACTAATATTTGGTGAACAGGAACTGGCTGCAGGAAATGGGAATGTGGATTTTTTTTTTTTTGCCAGTTCTGGGACTTGAACTTAGGGCCTGGGCACTATCCCTGAGCTTCTTTTGCTTGAGGCTAGCACTCTACACTTGAGCCACAGCATCACTTCCAGCTTTTTCTGTTTATGTGGTGCTGAGGAATTGAACCCAGGGCTTCATGCTTGTGAGGCAAGCGCTCTACCACTAAGCCACCTTCCAGTCCTGGTATTTGTTTTTATTTTCTGATTTTTTTTCTTTTTAGGGGGACAAGGGGAGGAGTAGAAAGGGAGAGAGGAGGAAGTGGTGCTGTGGTTCAAGTGGTAGAGCGCTCGCCTTGAGCTGAAGAGCTGAGGGACAACGCCCAGGCCCAGAGTTCGAGCCCCACGACCGACAAAAAAAAAAAGAAAGGGAGAGAGGAAGGGTAAACAAAACAATCATGCCATTCAGCATATACTAATGTGGAAAATGAACTACAACTTATGAGCAGGGATAGGAGGGGAAAAGTGGGGGAAAGTGAAGGAAGGGGTGACATTGTCCAAAAAAAAAAAGTACTCATTACCTGGCTTATGAAATGGCAATTCTCAGGGCTAGGAAGGTGGCTCAGTGGTAGAGCGCTTGCCTTGCATGCATGAGGCCCTGGGTTCAATTCCTCAGCACCACATAAGCAGAAAAAGCCGGAAGTGGTGCTGTGGCTCAAGTGGTAGGGCACCTAGCCTTGAGCTGAAGAGCTGAGGGACAGCGCCCAGGCCCAGAGTTCAGGCACCAAGCCCGACAAAAAAAGAAAAAGAAAAAGAAATTGTAATTCTCCTGTACAGCACCTTAATAATAACTAAATTAGGCTGGCACCAGTGGCTCAAGCTTGTAATCGTAGTTACACAGGAGGCTGAGATCTGAGGATCGTGGTTCAAAGCCAGCCCAGGCAGGAACATCCATGAGACTCTTATCTCCAGTAAACCACCAGAAAAGCGGAAGTAGCGCTGTGGTTCAAGTGGTAGGGCACTTGCCTTGAGCTGAAGAGCTGAGGGACAGCGCCCAGGCCCAGCGTTCAAACCCCAGGACTGACAAAAAAAAAAAGAAAAAAGAATACTATTTCCTGCTTTTTATTGTACTGTAGTTGCATATGCTACCCCAGGGGAGTTGGACGTTTTATTTCTTTGGACGTTTATTACCTTACATTGGACCTTCATTACTTTACATTTTATTACACTGGACGTTTATTACTTTAATTGTAATAATACTATTTCCGGCTTTCAATTGTCCTATAGTTGCGTAAGATGATACACAAGGGGAGTTGGACGTTTTATTTAGTTTTTGCCAGTTCTGGGCTTGACCTCAAGGCCAAGGTGCTGTCCCTGAACCTCTTTTGCTCAAGGCTAATACTCTACCACTTGAATCCACAGCTCTACTACTGGCTTTTTGGAGGTTAATTGGAGGTAAGTGTTTCAACGACTTTCCTGCCCAGGTGGGCTTCAAACCACAATTTCCAGACCTCAGCCTCCTGAGTAGCTAGGATTACAGGTGTGAACTACCACACTCTGTCTCTTCCACTGAGATGGCATCTCCTGGAATTTTCTTCCCCAGTTGCTCTAATACCATGATCCTCCCAATTCAGTCTCCTAAGTAGTTAGTATTATAAGCATAAGCCACCAGCACCCAGCACCCAGCAAGGACTGCCACTGTCTTTATCAAGCATCTGTGAATCCACGACAATACTTCTTTCAGGTGGCAGACATGGCCAGGGAGTACTCCTGCATGCCTCTATTCTAAACCAGGCCTGTTCCTACACTCAGGTTTCTTACTGTGGTTAGGAGAGTCTCAAGATACAACCTTCTCTACCTTAACCCATTTCCCGTTGCTATCACGGGGTAATTCACACGAACACAGGTTTGTTTGGCTTCCAGTTCTAGAGGAGGTCCAGAACACAGCACCAGCCTCCATTTTCATCATAACAGGACAGAAGGCAGTTCACACTTAGTCACTTCCTCTTTTTGTTGTTGTTGTTGTTGGTCTTGGTGCCTGAACTCCGGGCCTGGGTGCTGTCCCTTAGCTCTTCAGCTCAAGGCTAGTGCTCTACTACTTGAGCCACAGTGCCACTTCTGGCTTTTTCTGCTTATGTGGTGCTGAGGAATTGAACCCAGGGTTTCAAGGCAAGTGCTCTACCACTGAGCCACCTTCCCACCCCAGTCACTTTCTCTTATAAACACCATCAGAGTGCCCACCTCACAGCTCATCAACAGGAATTCAGGGATTATGTTTCTAACATGGGAAATTTTGGGGAGCCAGGCTTACATCTGCCTGTAATCCTAGCAACTCAGGAGGCTGAGAGCTGAGGATTGAGGTTTAAAGACAACCCTGGCAGGAAAGTCTGCGAGACTCTTATTACACTAAAGAGCTCAGGCACAGTGTTCAGGCCCTGAGTTCAAGCCCCACATCCCCCCCTCACACAAAAAGTCTCACAGACTTTCCTTTTATTTTTATCATTTATTTATTTGTTTATTTGGGTCCGGTTGTGGGGCCTGAACTCTGGGCCTGGGCGCTGTCCCTCAGCTCTTCAGCTCAAGGATAGCGCTCTACCACTTGAGCCATAGTGCCACTTCCGGCTTTTTTCCTTTTGCTTATGTGGTGCTGAGGAATCGAACCCAGGGCCTCATGCATGAGAGGCAAGCACTCTACCACTGAGCCACCTTCCCAGCCCTGGCTTTAAAGATTTTTAAATGCTGCTGAGTGCCAGTGGCTCACGCCTGTAATCCTAGCTACTAAGGAGGCTAAGATCTGAGGATCACAGTTCAAAGCCAGCCCATGCAGGAAAGTCTGTGAGACTCTTATCTCCAATGAACCACTAGAAAACCGGAAATGGCACTGTAGCTCAGTGTTAGAGAACTAGCTTTGAGCTGAACAGCTGATGGACAGCGCTCAGGACCAGAGTTCAAGCCCCATGACCGACCAAAAAAAAAATATCTGAAATGCTGAGATCTCAGCCACGGGAGTAGCTTGGATTACAGGCGGGAGCCACCAGTGCTCTCAGAAATCAGATCGCTTCCCACCTCAAACAGAAGGAAATCTAAGGCTCTGGGCACTGCCACTCTCCCAAAATCTAGCACTAGCACGCAGGCAATTCCCGTCTGGCCACCCCCCCACACCTCTGTGTCCTCAACACCCGCACTAGGCCAGGCTCCCTTAGACCTTCCATGGCACCAGCTCTTCCTCCAAGTAGTCAGTTTCCTAGCCGCCTTCTTCAGGGGAGTCTGACTTGCACGTGCCCGGCCAGTGCCCCGCGCGAAGAGGAGGTGATCGGTGCCGCACGGGGGAGCGGGGAGCCTAGAACCCCAGGAAGGCCATGCTGATCCCAGGCAGGGCTGGGGCCTCCCACGAGGGTGACGAGCCCAGGGCAGGGGAATCGGATCCCCGCTTCCAGGCTCTCCAACCTCTGCCGGGCAGACTCCGGTGGGCCTGCCGTCCTTCCCGCGGCCTCCGCCGCCCTCACCTGGGTTCGGGGCGGGGGGGGGGGCGGCTCAGGAATGGGGAGCGGAAGGTGTTCCCGGTTCCCGAAGGCCAGAGGAGGATGACGGGGAGACGAGGGCCGGCCAGGGCAGCGACTGCCTCAAGGTCACGCGGCGCTGGCGGCAGGGCGGGGTCCCGCAGCCCGGG